AGGGTTTTAGTCTGCAATATATATATATATATATATATATATATATATATATATATAGAGAGAGAGAGAGAGAGAGACAAACATTCACTACCAAGATTTGGAGAATCACGAAGGGCAGCTCGCTGTAAAAATATGTGCAAGTAATTGTCACAACGAAACTCTACCTTTAATTTCTATGTGCGTGTGCACGTTTAGATATGCACTAGTATACAGTACAGTAACTGTTACATAAACAATGCTCTACCGTGAAATAAAAAGAGCCGTGGGGTAAAAAATATTTCGATGTTGCAAATGTGCAATGGACGACGAGTAAATTGTGAGAGAAATGTGAACAAACATTTCTAGTATGGAAAAATCATGGCGGGAAACGTTACTGATAACGACGATATTATCAATAGACAGATGATCCTACGTCTCCTTCTATCTTTTGATTGTCCGAACAATGGATGTTTTTTTTTTTTTTTTTTAGTAGCTGATGTCATTCTATCAATATTTAAGTAAGGGATATTTTTTTTTTACATAAGATTGCAAATAATATTTAGATTTACATAGAATGCAAAAACGTGTATCTTGTTTTTTTTTTCGATGAAGAAAAATTAAATAATTATTCGAAATATTAACGATGTTTCGTAACATCATGTAACAACCCAATCGATGATTGATAATAATTAATTTTTTTTTTCTTTGTAATCATTTTGATCGTCACGTTCTCATTGATTATTAATATTTATATTAAATACATACATGTGTAAATCTTTTATTTTTTTTTTTTTTTTTTTTTTTTTATGTACAGAGTAAAAGAAGATGCAGTCTTATGTTAGTAGCTAGGAAATTATCAAAGTCTTTTATCGTGTCGAATCACGATACTCAAGGTTAAACTAAAAAAACTTTAAATTTATCGATTTTGAAAATACTTTGCGATATGATAACGAACAAGCATCGGTCGGAACGAGTAACGAGTTCCGTTGTTATCTCAACGATTTCTAATTCACGTTATAACAATTTTGACTAATCGAGTATTATTTATTTGAAGGATGTATGTTGTGTCTTTTTTTTTTTGTGCGATCAAAAGCGTACGTACGGTGATACGAAATTAATGAAATTTTTAATGACAAAACAATCAGTCGTCTTTCGATTGATGAATAAACGATTTCAAGATAATATAGATAAATCAATTTTCAAGATATCACATTATTCATCATCACAAAATCGTGATATTTCTGTTTTAGAAACGTTATTTTTTTCTAAGAAAACTTGTTGACTGTGTTAAACACGATAAATCATAATTATAAAGTTCAAGATGAGTTATACAATGTTAGAATAATACGAGTTAAAAATAAATGAATAATAAGTACGCGAGAAGTAACTTAATCAAGGAGAAAAGAAATGTAAAGTAAAATAACTCATTTTCTTGTTTCAATATTTTTTCACGTAAAAATGTCTATTCTTCTGTTCTATGAGAAGAAGAACTTTTACAGCATATATATCCCTTTAACTGCGACGCGTTCTCAACTCAATCAATCCATTAATATGAATTGGCACAATTTTCGCATGTCAGTCAGTTGCGACTGTTTTTCCATTCGTCTACTGACCAAAACAGATAATAATGGACAAATCAAATAAAAATATGCATTTTTTTAAAGTAATTTTTAAGCTATTTTTATTTATTTTATTTATTTTGTTGCATTCCTTCAATAATAATCGGTAATTTAAATTTATAATGTAACACAGAGTATAATAACTTTAACAACTGGATATTTTAATAATTTTTAACCTAATAATAAAAATAATCAAACGATAATGTGAACGAATATAAAGATAATAAAATTAAAATAAACCAATTTCAAATATAAATGCAATTAATTAAACGTCATTGAAATAATTGTCAATATTTACTTGCTATGTTACATATCACAATAAATTCCATGTTAAATTAATCGGTAATACAGCAATAAAGGTGTTATTGTAAAAAAATACAGAGGGCCTATATTTACACCTTTCGTGTATATTGATAGATTTGTGAGAGCGTATATATATACGCCTTTAGCAGTCAAACGGGATCTAAAACATCAAAGTAAAATTACAGTTAATTTAATATTTATTAATATTTGAATATTTTAACCATTACAATTGTATATGATCGTGCTTGTATTATTCTTCGTTCTACAATGTCTTATAAGTCAGTTAAGCAATTAACTGAAAATTCACTGCTCAAAGGGTTGTTAAAATACAGGCTACAGTAAAGTTTCATTTCTCGAAGGAGTATATTTATACAGGGCAATGAACTACTCTACTTTATTATAATTTTTCGTGTAAAGATTACGTTATAAACAGACTACAGTAAACTTCGAAACTTTTCAATGTATGATGGATTTTAAGTATCGTACTCATGGTAGAGTATAACGAAGCTATGGGACTTTTTTATTATGCAGAACAATCATGGTTGCAATTTCCTTAGAGATTTTGAATACTTCGAGTTAAATTTCTTCTTCTTCTTCGATCAAATCTACTTTGACAAATATACATAACTTGGACAAATCATTCATTGTTGAAATAATTTTGAAGATGTTAATGATTTGACCATGTTTTATAAGAACGATTAAATATAGTAACAAAACAATCGAAGAATAAATTACTGGCACGTGTAACATTTGATGATTTCAAGGTAAATGTATACACACAGACAAGCTCATTAATTCAACCAAGTCATTAAATAGTAGTTGTAGTAGTAGTAGTAGTAGTAGTAGTATTAGTGTTAGCTCGTTAAATCCATGTAATTATTCATTTCGTAGTCGACCAGCATTGTTTCAATTCATAGAGAATTCTATTGTCTCATATGAAACCAAGAGACAGAATGTAGAGAAAGAGATAGTAAGAAAGTAAGAAGAAAAGAGATAGGAGAGAAGAATCGTTTAAAGTAAAGATCATTGTCTGTGTGTGCAATTTACGTTTAGGTACACACAGGTATATACATATTTTTAAAGACATTGTCATATTGTAAATCCTAAAACTTTTGTACGATTCAAATTTATATAAAATTAATGTATTCCACATATTTTATTTATTAACCTTATAAGTTTCTTATAATCAATTGGTTTTGTACAAGATAATTAAGTTTATATGTTGATAATATTTCTTGTTTCTTCCTCGAATTCGTAAGAACACAAATTTATTTTAAAATTAATTCTAAGAAACACGTACGAGATAATAATGAAAATAACCTGTAACAATATTTAACAGTTTTTGGAATCGGTGCCAAGCCCTACACGATAGATTACAATATTACTAATAATACAAATTATTAAACACAAATTAGTATGAAAATATTATTATAATACAACATAGATTACAATATTACTAATACTAAACACAAATTAGTAATATTGTAATCTATCGTGTAGGGCTTGGCACCGATTCCAAAAAACTGTTAAATTTTGTTATTGGTTATTTTAAACTTTTTAGTGCCAGTAGAGTTTTTTGAAGTCAGTTGGTTTTTTTTTTTT